CATTTACAAGTCAACTACTCGGGCAATTGCAGAATCGTTTTGATCCTGAGCTTGTAAGACAAACCTAATATCACTTTAATCTTCCGAGAACATTCCTTCTTTAGCTCATATTCCAAGAATATTAAGTGAATACAATTATTTCAAAAGAAATTGAATATTTGTTTGCATTATGGCTTGGTAGTTTACTAACGAATTAACAAAACTTAAATTCTGCTTTTTGTGTCTAAGAATACAACAATATTTTAAATATTTACAAATAAAATATTAAATTGGAGCCTCATTAGTTGCCTAGCATTTTAAGATTGTTAAATACTAATTGTTTGTTGCGAAGTCTAACCCAGGCTGCATGGTTGGTTTTCGTAGTTTTTTTTTACAAAGGTTCTCTATGAAAGCATCTTAACCAAATAGCTCCCATGTTCTTTCTATGTTCAAATAACCAACTAACCTAGTTTAAGTGCGATTTCCAAGTGAAGTTACTAGCAAAACTCGAATACTCATTAAAAATGATGTAGCTTGCCCATCAGGAGTAACATGAAAGATACGGTGCCAATAATTGAATTGCTGTTACGGTACGCTGTTTCTAAACTTAGATGGGCATTCCTTAATTAAATATCATTGATTTGTAACTTCTATTAGAGCTGACGGTAAGAAATGAAGTGTAAATAAATAATATCGTATGCAATCTTGATTAACATAAAATTAAAAATATTTGCATAGAAAAATATTTGCATTCAGACAGAAAGTTTTTTGAAATATTTGCAGTTACTTTATAAGAAGGATTTATTAATAACCGCAATAATTACTTATTATATTACTGATGATTAGGATTCAGTTCTTGACAATTACATTCTAAATTAGAATTTTAAGGATATAATGAAAATACACTACGCACAAAAATACATTTTAGGATAAAAAATTAGTTGATTTTTTATGCTTTAAACCTTCTTAAATTCATTTAATAAACATCATATCCTCGTTGTTAATTGAATCCAGAATGTTGGGTGTCGTTTATATAATTATTCTTTACTCGTCCACAGAATCTGCTGGCTTATCCAGCCATTAAGTAGCTGCAGATCATTTCTACATAACCATTGATCTTCCATTAATTCAGTCTCTAGAGGGTTGTATGTTTATATCATAATTTCACTTTTATAAAAATGATTGTTCTAAATCTTATGTTTCTATAAAAATATACCATGCTTTAAAAATATGGATGATAGTATCAGCCGCTCTTTCAGCCACTTCATAAGCAACAGTTTGTTTAGAAATAAATTATGCAGTTAATGTCATAAAATTCAAATAAACATCAAACGAAAATTCTCAGTTTTAGACAATTCGATTTAAACGAAGTAAAGTAGCAGACGATAAAACGCCGAAGGTAAAAATTTACTCTTACAAAAATTTACTCTTATTTTTTTTAAAAATGAAGAAAGAGAGAAATTTAAAAAAAGTAGTTAAAATTTGAATAATATCATCTATAATTTAAAAAAATAGCTTTTCATATAGCATTAATAAATATTTATTATGCATCATTGAGAGAAAAAATTTCATATAATTAATTCTCTGTAAAATTTTATTTGAAATTTAAGGTCAAAAATAGCTGTGGCAATTCACTGTAACAAAAATCCATAAACCACATTTGGCGTTATTATCACCCAAAAAAAAGTTGCCAAATTTCAAAACGCGAAAATATGTAAATTCGTGTATATCTTAGAAAATTTTAATAAAAAGTCTAATTTTTTGCAGATATGCTTAAAAATACACCTTTTTTAAGATGATGGTAAAAATTTTATACGTTATAATTCAAAATTTTTTTCGAAAAATTTATAAAAATTATTTTAAAAATAGAAATTTAAAAAATAAAACACAAAAAAATGGGTAAATTTTATTTGGAATGAACCTAAATTTTGAAATGTGAAAGGAAAATAATAAAAGTTTAATAAAGAAAGAGATATTAATAAATCTTTACCAAATTCAATTAACATTGAGGAGCTAAAATTTTGAGAGCTAATATTTTAAAAACTACTCATACGATTTTTACAAAACTTGGTATTCTGGCATAATTTGAGTCGTAGAATTGAAATATGGAAAAAAAATCGATATGTTATTTCAGAAAATGTCCGATTTTGTGTCAAAATACCTATGTTAAAGTAGTGCTATACATAAATCTAATATATATCCTAAGTCGTGCTTTTGAGACATGAAAAACGCAGTTTGTATTTTGTCAATCGGCCCAGTAGAATGGGAGATATAGCACTGTTCCCCACCCTTTTTTTTTTTTTTGAGCAGTGTACAGTTTTTGAAAATTAAATGTACCACAAAAAGGCATGTAATAAGCAAAAATTGTATAATGAATCTTCATTCAGTGGGAGCATTATTATGACATTTTCAGATATTGAGAATGAAATAGCTGATGATCAGACTAATGAATTGGAAAGGATGGTTAATGATAGTACTCAATCTGATCATCATGAATTAGTTTATGATAGTATTAAATCTGATAGCGATGAACATAATACAGCTCAAAATGATAGACACAATAACAGTAATATAGTTGATGAGCTACCTATGCTGACCAGAACAGAAAACTTAGATTCCTGAAAATTTATCAAGACTTTGACACACACGGAATGCCAGAAGTGCGAATGCCAAATTTAGATGATATGTGCTTTATTAAAGCTTTGGCAGCAGCAACAAATGATGTGCATTCTGAACTGAAAACCATTGAAGCATTAAAGGGAAATGATGCAAACCATTGGAAAGATTCTATATGTGAGACTATAATAGGTCATATTAAAAACAAAACGTAGGAAATAGCAGAGAAACCCTATAATACGAACATTGTAGATTGTTTTCAAAATTAAATGTAATTCAGTAGGCAAGATTGAAAGATAGAAGATACGTTTAGTTGCTAAGGGCTATTCTCAGATTGAGGAAACAGACTGTATTGAAACATTTGTGCCAGTTGTCCGTTATGTAACATTAAGAGTTTTATTAGCTGATGCAGCTGTATATGATTGGGAAATTGTACAAATGGATGCTGTAATGGCTTTTGTACAGGGAACTATAAATAAAGACATTTATATGAAAATTCCAAACAGTTTCAGTGAATTTTACAAGCAAAACTTAAAGGGAAAGGTCCTAAAATTAAACAAAGCATTAGATGGTTTAAAGCAGAGTGGTAGAATATGGTACCAACTGTTAGAAAAGAGCTTAATAGAAATGGGACTGAGACAAAGTTCTTTTGATAGTTGTGTCTAAAATAAATGGAAATAAACAACTAGTTATTGTCACTATTTATGTTGATGACTTACTCATTTTTAGCAATAACATAGAACTTAAAAAATTAGGTAAAACAACAACTTAACGAAAAATTTGAAATGAAAGACTTGGGACCAGCAAATTATTGCTTAGGAATTAAAATTGAATGAGATAGAACTAAAAGGTCCATTAGCCTTAGTCAAACCCAGTATGTAGAGAGTATGCTTCACAAATATAATATGCATGAATCTCATGGTGTAAAAACACCACTAGACCAAAACCAAGTGTTACCTAAACTGCAGATACCAACTAGTAAGGAACAAAAGCTACCTGTTCCTTATCGGGCTACCATTGGGAAGTCTTCTTTATGCAGCTCAAGCAACACGACCAGATATAACTTATGCTGTGAATTTCCTTAGCCAGTTCTCCAATAATCCAGCAAGGGTTCACTGGAATGCTGTCAAGCACATCATGTGATATCTTTGAGCCACTACTGATGCTACATTGTCTTTTTCAAAGGACTATAGTGCTGACGTCCTTGGTTACAAGGACTCAAACTATGGAGGTGATGCTGGGGATCGACGATTAACCACTGGATATGTTTTCCTCAGTAGAGGTGGTGCAGTATCATGGTGTAGTAAGCGTCAACCTACCATTGCAACTAGTACAACAGAAGCCAAATATATGGCTCTTCCTGCAGCTACTAAAGAAGCCATATGGCTCAACAAAATTGTTACAGAACTTGGGATTATTACTGCAAAGCCAGTATTATTATACTGCGATAACAACAGTGCTATTAATCTCAGCAAAAATAGTGTGTATCATGGTAGATCGAAACATATTGATATACAACACCATTTTGTGCGAGAAGCTGTGAAACTTCAGCACTCTGACATACAATATAAGACTACTAATGATATGATTGCAGACTTTTGACAAAAAATTGTAAACAGTGCAAAACATGAAAATGTGTGCAAAATGATGGGTTTAAAATGAAGACCAATGTAATTTAATGTTTTATTATATGTATGTGTGCTGATGTAATTTCTCATTGTATTTAATTAGGATAATAATTTTTAAACCTAAAGTGGGAGTGTGAAAACAGTGGTGCCATTTATGGGCCAAGAACATTTAATATGTTCTTGGCCCATAGATGGCACCACTGTTTTTATACACTTCTATAACTGTGCAAGCCAATAAAACTTCACTTGTGTTCCAAACTCCCAACAGGTATGTTCTGTGTTATTTATTCTCATACATGTAAGTAACCACTCTCTGCTATATTGGGTTTCTAATATTCTGACCAGCAAAAACATTATTGTGATGGAGCATCCTCCTTATTCACCTGATTTGGCTCCATGCGACCTTTTTTATTTCCAAAAGTACAAATCTTACTTAAAGGAAATCAATTTTACCTCAGCTGAAGAGGCTCAGGCAAAAACAGAAAATCTCCTCAAGGGCCTTCGAAAAACCTCGTTCCAAAACTGTTACCAGCAATGGTAGCACTGAATGCAGAAGTGTGCATATGCTGAAAGGAACTACTTTGAAGGTGATAATGTCACAGATAACTGATTATGTAAGTACAATGATTTATTGGACCAAACTTTTTTTTTTTTTTTTTTTTTTTTGTGTGTGTGTGTGTCACACCTTGTACATGTAGAATTTGGTCATGATAACAGAAAAGTACTGAAAATTCTCAATATGACTAAGCAAATGTTACAGATGACAAAACACAATGACATACTCATGGTTTATATGTTTATGGACTCGAGTCTTTTTGTCTGAAAATTTACAATACTTAAAAAAGAAATTCTGTATATCATAAAACACTGATACGTACTTCTCTCTTCACAGCAATTTTCAGGAAGATCACAAGCATTTTCTAACATCAGATCTTTCTGTTTTTTAGTTACCCAATGCACAGACTATCAAAGAGGGAGTGAAAAAATTATCTATTCAGTACTATACAGAAATTTATAATTTGTACCATACAAAAACATAGTTTATTGAATACAGAGCATGAAAAAAAAAACTCGATTGGTCATTCGAATTTTAAAAAATCACATTAATCATATAAATGATTTGAAACACTTATTAGTTTCTAATTCAGAAGTCAAACAACAAAAATCAGCGTTATATTTACAAAATTTTTCACAGGACTAGTTTCGATGGTTTTACCGAACCACCATCCTCAGCTGCAAAACTGCAAATGAACAAGATAGGAAATAATGATTAGATAAGATAAGAAAGCCTGGACAAGAATAAGCAAGTGGCGCCATCTGTTCGTGAAACCAGAACTAAAACATAATTTCTTTAAAGGCAAATTTGGATTGGAATTAGGATCGTTAACTAGAACAGAAAGATTTTTATGAATGTGAAATGTCTCTAGAAAATCCAGTTCTCCAATGGAAGATGTTTTTTGAATAATTTTGGCAGCAGAAAAATTGAAAGTGTGATTTTCGGACCAACAATGTTGAGCAACAGAAGACTTCTGGGTTTCCTTTTTTCTAACATATGCCTCATGTTCCTTGACGCGAAATTTTAAGACTCTCTTAGTTTGGCCAATGTAAATTAAACCACACTGGCAAAGAATCTTATAAATACCCCAGGAATTCATATCCGGAATGGGGTCCTTGAGTATGGAACTCGGAATTTTATTGATGGGAGAATAAACATCCCGAAAGTTAAATTTCTGCAAAATATGTGCAACTTTGTAGCTAATTGATGGAAAGAAGGGAATGACAACAGAATTTTTATAATCTCCTAAAACAAGAGTGTGCCTTTTAGTGTGTTGAGATGAGAATTTTTTAACTGCTTGATTAATAATGTTGGGTGAAAAGCCCCTGTCAATAGCTATTGCTTTTTTTTGTTGTTGTTGTTTGACTTCTGAATTAGTATTTATTCAGCGTGTTATTGTGTCTTACTTATTAGTTTACTTCAAGCATTTCTTTACATTCAGAAACTCCATTACTACTTTCAAAATTAAATAAAGAGCTCGTATGGCTCTTGACAAACCTAACAAGACACATATTGAGCTCTAACATGTGGCTCCGAGTATCGTGAAGGTGTCCACCTCTTCACTTATTATAGATGAAATGAACTTTGAGTGAATTGAGTCTGAAATTATACTTTCATCTAATAAACATATGTATTACTTTATATGTATTACTTTAGTTCTTATTTTTCCTATATCTTTAATGAATTTATATGGCAATTGCTAATACATATTCTTATTTTTTAAATACATGATTTACTCTTTTCTGAAAAATTTAAATCATCCTGTATACAGTGGCATAACTAACACTCTTGGGCCCTTACGCAAAAAAATTTCTTAGGCACCCCAAATAAATTTACGGTATTCAAAGAAAGAAAAAAAAAAAAAAAAAAAAAAAAAAAAAGAGGAAATGTTTTAGATTTTAACTGCCACCCAAAAGGGTTTGTATGGGTTTTTATGCTCTCGCTGAGCTCTACTTTGTTAATAACCCATTGACATTCAAGAACATCAAGAACTATCTTCAGCCAATACCAAGCAGTATATTATTATTGTTATATGACAATGTAAATTTGAAAATATAACAATCTGTTTCTAAACATGCACATGTCCACAGTAGAGCCAAATTAAATGGTATTTTTTGGACCTGTATTTTATTTGTATGTTAAGGGGGTTAAGTATTGCTTTCTTTGCACTTACGCTACATAAAGTCGAACAACAAAAATCACGAGGTTTTCAAAAGTTGAATAGCAGTATACATTTGGAATTCCCATTGCAGTGTTAAGTTTTGGCATAACATTTTAATAAAATTTTTAGTCTTTTCTCAGTTTATCATATCAATATTCAGCTTTCTTAGAAAGATGACTAATAATTTTCTGTCTTTTCATTATTATTTTTTTATCTGTTAAGTTTATTAAATATCATGTTCATCTCACTTATGCCACATAAAATTCAGTTCAACAGAAAAATCACAAAATATTTAAAAACAGCATATCATTAAGATTCCCGACAGAGGGTTAAGAGTTTGCCATACATATTTTTATAGTCACTATATTAAAAAAAAAAAAAAAAACTAGCTGCCTAAAATAGTTATCATAAAAAAAGAAAAATTATATAATGATTATAGTTAGTTCAGTTAGGATTATTTCACAAGAATATTGAATGTTTCTAATTAAACCTCTCATGATTCTAATGCATGTTTATTTAAATCAATCATATGAAAAAGTAGAAGAAAAAAAATGCTGAACTGCGCTTATTGCTTTTAAATTGCTCAATTTATTATTTAGTAACTTTCCAGATTAAATTTGAAAGTATCTGAGGTTTTAATGAACGGTTCTTATCTTAGGTTTAATGAACACGATTACATGTGCAAGGTAAAAGAATTTTACTTTCGGCAATGGCGACACATTGCTTTCATGGAGTCAAGTTTGTTAATTAAAACTGAAAGATTTAATTAACAAATTTGAAAATTTTTAAACCTTACATTTTTCTGAATAGCAACAGTCTCACATGCTGGAGATAAAAATGTCTTATTTCAAAATGTGTTTGTCACTGCTGGCTTTCAAACTGTTGAGTTTGTTAATCAAAATTGCATTAGAGTTTTACAAAGTATGAAATGAATAATAAAACAAATTGGAAATTAAAATTCAGGCTTCCAGGTGCACATATTCTAGTGGAGAACGACATTATTCAAAATATGATGGCTCTAGATACTATCATTTTTTTCACAATGCAAGCAACATACATTCATACATGCAGGTTCTTCCTTATTTAATTTCTTTAAAAATAATACAGGGCGACAATATTTGGTGGCAACAATTTGAAAAGTAATATGCCATTTATAGTGCCCAACGCAATACATGTTATAGTAAACCACAAGAATCACTCATATTAATAAATTTAAAGTTTAATGTTAAGATTGGTTTTTGGACCTTGGTTTAATGGAAATAATGGATTTAACAGATTATATATTAGTAAATATGTGAAAAAAATTTTAAAATGCTGTGAATGACATGTTCTGAAAATTGAGAACTGCAAATAACATACCATGATTTTTTTTTTTTTTTTTAATTTGCGAAATTTATGCCAAATTAAATACTCAAATTGTGCCCAGCTACTTCTTTGATTTATATTTAAAAAATGTGTCTATTGGTTATTTGATCACGATAATGAATTATACAGAAATAAATTAATATACAAAATAATTACATAAAATTTAAACAATGCCAGCAAACCAAAATCATTAATTAATTTTTTTAGTGAAATTTACTGTTTATGACATCAGTTTCTTTCAGTTGTAGTTTTATTTTATTAAAAGTCACACAGGTTTATGAATCATTTTATAGGCACTGAACATTTATTACTGTGGGAGCCGTAACTGAGTAAGATTATGTAAAAGAGCAATCTAGATGAGTTCACAGTAAGACAAGAGCTAAACAACAGCAAGGATAGATGTGTCCAAAACATTTTGACGATTATTCTTTTTTCTTTTCTTTTCATTCTAATGTAAATAAATAAACCTTAGTTTAGCATTGCTTGATGTATTATAATGGTGATTACAGTAAGGCTTATTCATCATCAACCTTTTCTCTACATAACTATGGTGTCAGAAGTAGTTGTTTCGATTTCCTGTCCATAGTTGGATTGTGCTAGGTCATCTGTGTTAGATCCTGATCACCATTGCATCTGGAATAGTAAAGTTCACCCATTTTCAAATGGATTACATATTGAAGAACTTCAAAGCTAGAAGGTATGTAGATTTTGTTTTCATATTTGACAGATTTTAAGTGAAATAAAACAAACCAATGTTGCATTGAAGCATGGTAAAGCAGATAAAATTAGAACCTTACATAGATTAATTTTCAATACAGACGACGATAGATCAAATTGAAAGAGAATTAGAAACTTTTATGGTTTTGACTTTGCTTCAGATAGTGACGAATTTCAAAAGAAATTAGAAGAAGATGTAGAATAAAACTTTTCATTTAATGAGCTAACCTTAATTTCTAATATTTTAAGTATTTCATTTGGTACATCAGAAATAACAAACAATAAAAAAAAAGTTTTTATTGTGGTTTGAAAAATCATATTTCCAAAAACTGTATTCATAAAGATAAGGGAATTAAATGTTTTAAATGCAAAACTTTTGGTTATAAAGCTTTGGAATGTCCTAAAACAAATTAGAAAGCAGAAGTAGCCATTTTGAATGCTAATGTTGAATCGAAATTGAACAAAATGTAATGATTGGTAATTTAACAGTAAAATCATTAATAGACACTGGGAGTCAAGCGACATTGCTTGAAGAATTATGTCCTTCTACTTTGATGTGGTTTGTAAAATGCTGAATAGAACCATTAGCCTATTTTAAAGGAAATATTCAAATTGATGACTTTAAGTATAATGCTGACATTTGTGTAGTGGAAAATGATGTTATGTCTTGTGACGTCATCGTAGTGTCGTCATCGTAATGTGTTAATGCAGGGTGTAATTCTAATAAATGATAATGGAGTAACAATTAGAAATAGATCTCAGTGCATAAAAGAAATAGATACTTTATTTATTCTTCCAGTTGGGGGTGAAAGTGAAGTAAATATTGAATCTGATGTTCTGAATATTTTCAGAGATTGCAACAATTAGTTTCAAGTTATGTACAATGTAAGACTAGAACAACAAACATAAAAATGAACATTTTGATAAAAAATAATCACCTATATTTCATCAGCCTTGTAGGTTGCCATTTTCAGAAAAAAGAATTGTTGAAGCTCAAGTAGCTGAATGCACTGTATGAATGATGTATGAATGAATGAATGCTCAAGTAGCACAAGGAATAACAGAATCTAGTTCTTCAGAATATTGTAGCCCAGTTGTAATTGCTAAAAGGAAAGATGGAATACCTCGTTTGTGTATTGCTTACAGGAAATTTAATAAAGTCAT